GACAAAGAATTGGCTCAAGTAAAGTTGGATATAAGTGTTTCCCCAAATTTCAATACAGTATGTTAGATGAGGAAGGATTAATGTATTATATAGTAAAATTAGTATAGAACGAGGAATATAGTGACGAATTCGGGATATAATACCAATTTTGGGAGTAATAATTTGTCTCACTTTTTCTATATGAGATTTCCAGGTAAGTGAGGGGTCGATAGAAACACCTAAGTATGTAGCTGACTGTACGCCCTCTATCGGCGTGCCCTTCATAGTTAGATGGCCTATTATTTGGGTTCGTTTTTGGGGCGTTTTCATAATCATGTAATTAGTCTTGTCTACACTCACTGCTAGTTTGTTAGCATTACACCATTCTATCACTTTACCAAAGTCGTTGTTAATTGTGTTAATAAGGTCAATAGTATGTGTTTTCATGTATTTAAACAGGTTAGTATCATCGGCAAATAAACGAAAAACAAATGCATTAGTGGATTGGTTAATATCATTAATATAAAGAAGGAAAAGAATTGGTCCTAAAATGGAACCCTGTGGAACCCCACATTTAATTAGTCGTTGCGCTGACATAGTGCTATCGATATTTACTGCTTGTTGGCGGTTGGAAAGGTAGCTATGAAACCACTTGATAGATAAGTATATACAATTTCTACTTTTTCATTCATTCATTTTAATTTATGTTTTATTATTTTCCATATCACAGTTAAAAAAACATAGATCCATTTTGTTTGTAGTTTCACAAATTACACGAAGTGAAAGAGCTCATTCATGATAAAACATCTTCAAAATGTTGTTCAAGAATAAGGCAATCATTTTCTCACAACGGAGTGAAAAAAGTTTAACTTTGAATTGTGTTTCAAGCCAGGGATTTTTTTAAACAAGGGAACAGGGGAGCAGCACCCTCATGCCATGGCCATGCGCCCCTTACCCTGGGTAGCAGATCCTCTGGCAACCAACTGTGATAGTAATTTTAGCCCCAAGGTAGCCATAGAATGCTCCATTTTAATATAGAATTATCAAAAGCCATTTTGATCAGCGACAAAACACAAATCATGCGTGGTGCCTTATGATAGTACTCAATAAAACAACAGATTGTACACATGTAGTAACATTATTAAAGCATATTAGTGCCCATCAGCTGGCAGTTTTATTTGTAAGCTGTGACAGACATAAATCACTTTTGTTTCAGGCTAGGAAATGCTAATTATTCATGTAAAAACCAATCTAACACATTTTGACTACAGCTACAGTTTATATTTAAAGTACACATTTTGCTATTTGTAGTAGTTATTTAGTTATAAATGTTTTCGTTCATTAATTTTATTTTTGTATTATTAACTTTATTGCATCCAGTGCAAACAAGGGAATGTATTTATAACACTTCAGAACATGTCTGTACAGATTTTTTTTTAAATATCTGTAAATAAATACATAAAATAAATTTCCAATTATTCACTCACTTTGATTAGCCATAAATGTCATTAACTATAAATCACCACCATCAGAATTGAACAAATTTAGTAAATTGGAGGGCTTTTCGTTTTACTGTAAAAGTAAACAATTTGGCACTTAATTTCACTATTTTGTTACCTTGAGCATTATATTCAGTGTTTTAATTTCACTAAGTTTTCAAGGGAACAATCAGTTATATTTTACATGTTCACGTATATTTAAATTAGCGGATTGTACATTTGTATTTACATGCACAATGTATCAGCAAAATAGCGAAATTAAAACCCAGTGAATAATTAATGCATTTACAGTATTGTGTGATACTTATAAAGCTATGACATCATAAAAATCTCCAATTCTCATAGTGGTGGATTTATAATTGCAATAATGAGCAGTGTGATGAGGTTTATTCCATAAGTAACGATATACCAGTATCTTACCTGACTACTTATGTAACCGAATGCAAATGCGCTCAGCACCCATCCTTGCTCCTGCAAGTCCCAATTGAACTGCTTAGTCATTGGCACCACCGCAATGGGCATGATAACACGGTCAGCGGCATTCACAAAGTTTGCTAATGAACACAGGGCAACAATCTTAGTTGTCTTGCTAATGCGAGCCATTCTTGGCTCTGGGGCTTTCATCTCGATCTTTTCAGACATAAAAAGTTTGTTTTTATTAAAATAAAAGATAAAGCGTCCAAGGATTTAATCTTGAGTTCATGTTCAGCTCAATTATATGTACAATACAACGGCAACCAATCGCATACAGCTCTGTAAAAGAATACAAAAATACACATGTATTTAATTTGGTACATATTTTATAATCGGTACTTTTGAAAGTGTTCCATGGTTGACCCTCTGCCAACAACCAAAAAATCAAAACATGTCTAAACAGGGTTTGTTATTAACACTAGCTCACTATCCTAAGAAATGTTTTTGAGTACAAGCAGAAATAAATTGATTTATCATCCAGTGGTATAGTTATTTTCCAGTATAAATTTCATCATTTAATCACAAAGTAATCATGGAGGGACTGTGACTACGGGGTGTAAAATTTATAAACAATTACAACCTTGTTACCCCCCCCCTTCTAGAAGCTTATATTTAACAGTGTTCACCCCAGAAAATTAAAATGGAATAATTTGCATAACAAATGCATCACCTCAATTATGTTCATTGTTATGTTCGTTTATCCAAAATTAAACAGTTGAAATCCCCTATTCTATAATGCCTTGTGGAGAACCCCTTGATAAGTCTCAGGTCCTGTGAGAGAAGGGATTATACTAGTATTGCGGTCTGCAGTTGGGGGGTATATACACTTGTCTCGAAAATTCTAAGTCTTGAATGGGGGGGGGGGGGGTAATCAACATACTGGTGCATAAGTAACTCAATAATTATTGATAGCTCTATCGGAAACCAGAAACAACTTGCGATGTATCCATGATTTCAGATATTTGATGGACCTATACTATTGCCTCAGATTGAGAATCGCGTTCACCTTTTGTAGTTGCGCTCAAGCTGAGCACGAGTAAGAGGTCAATGCACTTTCCCTCTTCCATTAGGTAATAGTGCATGCACGCCCCCATCTAAATCCTTTCCTTTAGTGAAAGTGGTGGGTTCAATGATTAGTTGACGGTAACACACTCAACGTAATAGAATTAAAAACAAAACAATGCTGTTTTTCATGTCTAGTCAATCACGTTAGTGAAGTGCATCTCACCTGAAGACAAATCACGCACTGACATACGCACAAATCCATGGACTGTATGTCTCGATATCACAAATCGCGATAAATTACAACGAAAGCCGCCATCTTCGATAAACACGTAAATGTTTTTTTGATTGGCTAGCCAAATTAAGTGGCAACCAATCATGGCATCCGTTACAAACTAAAGACAATTTACCCTGTACATGTGAGTTCCGGGCAAGAAGATGGCGGAAGTTGTTAAATCGCCGAACGATTCCCGGGAATACAGGTGAGCTAGGCGTATTTTCTCATCACTTGTTACTTATGAGGAATAGTGGTATATTTCTGGTATGAATTAGCGATCAATGACGTCATCAGAAAAAAGTATCGGTACTGCTGGACATTTCTCGGATTGTACTTCATTCATTTGCTGGTGATCTTTAGTCTGGCAATTTTGTTTGTACACCCACGATATGGCAGATATAAGTGTCTTATATTATTCCGTTATTGTTTCTACTTCTATAATTATATTAATATATATATAGTGTTTTTGCGTTATAATGCCATTACGCCCTTTCATAGCATGGGATCTCGCAAAATAGCGCCCTCACGAAATCCCTGATGGCATTCTTTTTTCAGTAATCCAACTCACATACTAGTACTAATCAACAAATTTTGAAATTATATGTATATTAGTTGGATTCGCATACTGAACAACTTTCTGATATATAATTATAACTTTAACAATGTTTCAAAGTTCAAATTCCAAACCGTAAGGGAACTTTTCTTTCTGCAAACTTCAAATTTTTTTTTAATATTGTGCAAAAACATTTACTAGTGAGATACCTAATTGATATGGGTCCCATGCGACATATCCAACTCTTGTAACATTTTTGTTCAAAAAATTTCAAACAAACTTTGCGTGACAACCATAATAACTTCAACTAATTCAATGAAATCTGACAATTAAGCAGGCACTTGTACCTAATGAAATTAACATGTGGTTATATACATGTAATTAATATCTGCAGGGTCATTGAACTTGAAAACGGCCTTACGGCACTACTGATATCAGATATTAAAAGTGCAAGTGAGAAATGTACACAAGATGACGCCGACGATGAGGATGATGATGATGACTCTGACCTAAGTGATGAATCCTGTGATAGTGAAGACGAGGATTATATGGAGGATAGTGATGAGGATGAGGAGGGAGTGGATGGAGGAGAAAGTGATGAAGAAGGTGGAAATCCAAGGAAGTCTGCTGCCTCAAAATCAGTAAAAATGGTAATTATAATTATAATTATCCCAAAATCATAAAATTTACTACAGAGTTATCGCTCTTATCACTCTCCCTAAGGAGCTATTGATACATTATAAATTATTGCAATAATTTAAGGTGTACATCACTCCTGATTACGTAGATGTATAAGCATTCTGTATCATTCAAATTGATAGCAATGTTTGGTTGTGCTCTCTCTTCTCTTGGTTTTACATGAAACCAGGGATTTTTTGAGATTACAGGTTTAATAATTTTATACTAGATCTGATTTATACGTTCATTCACACTTATGTTAAAGCTTATCTTTACTACGGTAATAAGATCAGATCTGTTTTGTGAAGTAAACTTGTGTTTTTCTGTCTTTGTAGGCAGCAGCCGCTCTGTGTATTGGTGTAGGTAGCTTCTCTGATCCGACAGATATTCCTGGATTAGCTCATTTCTTGGAACACAGTAAGTCTTGCAAAGAAATTACAATAATTTTTACCTTTCTTGATGATTTCATAGTAAAATATAAGACAAGGGTGTAATATTTGTGGAAATTGAAAAATAATCTCAAATTTGTGTTGCTATATTTTTAACCTATTTGAATGCCATCACTATTGTCACTTTTCACCAAAAATAATTTTAAAAAAAATATTGATTCAGTTTTATGCAGTGAGAAACTATGAGCATTTGGTTCAAATTTAAGACAGAAATTATAGGAAAACCTTTCAAATCTGCAGTAGGTGGCACCAAAATTTTGCCAGGAAAAACAATGGCATCCGAATAATTAATGAACGTCTGACGTGATCATAGATACTTGCATGGAGTCATGTTACAACTGAGGACAGGATTTCATGATCATTGTATGTCATGTCTCATCTTGGTTTCATATTTCACATGCTTCATCGTAACTTCTGTGCAAATAAATATTGTAGCACACTCAGCATGTTCAAGAAATAGTCACGCTATTTTGTCCTTGGTTGTTGCATTCTATTGAATTTCTGAAAATCATGTTCCTTTATGTATACAGTACTTTACTTTAGAAGAACAATCTTGATTTACTTGTATTTCGCCATCAGCACTGTTGCTTTCATTCATAATTTTACTTTTTGGATTTCAGTGGTGTTCATGGGAAGTAAGAAGTATCCAGATGAGAATTCATTTGATGATTTTATAAAGAAACATGGCGGTAATGACAATGCATCAACCGACTGTGAAAGAGTGAGTTCTACTTCATTTTGAAATAATATAGACTCTCAGCTGGGATGAAAGGTCATATGTTGCTATGGGATATGCATATTCAAATTACCATAACAAATTGTTGAATAGCATAATACGAATATATATATATGTGCATGATAATTGTGCAAAAGTTACATTTTGCCTGCAGTGTACCACTGGCAAGTACCAGGATGTGTGACCTTTCGGGCAAGGTATAAGGTTTATTGTTTGATGAATTGTTCTTCCAGACTGTCTTCCACTTTGAAATTCCTACAAAACACTTCCATGAAGGCTTAGATCGGTTTGCTCAGTTCTTTATTTCTCCTCTGATGAAGCCTGACAGCAGTGATAGGGAGATTGAAGCAGTGGACAGTGGTAAGATCCTCACAGATTAATAATGTTCACCTGAAAATCCTGTTGAATTTGTGTTGCCTGATTTAAAAAAAAAATGTTACATGTTTGTATCCTGTACTATTATAATAAAAATTGCACATTGTCTTGAATTTATATGTGATAATCATATTACCATTAATGGGAAAGAAAAATGATGTTTATATGATGTTGGTATATCAACTTACTGTAGAATACTTTATTTTCGCTTGGAATTAATTGTCGCTATTTTCGCTGAAGTAATGTTTCAGTGGAAATAAAATGCCAGCGAATATATCTTTTTCCCTATATTTTACATTCAAATCATCAAAAATCAGTGAACATAAATTCCATACAAAACACCTGAAAAATGATTTCAGCGAAAATTAATTCCAGCTAAAATAAATTATTTTACAGTATGTGATTTTCAATGAAGTTACATAAATTGCAAGATTATCACACAATCGCACGCAATTGTTGTTTTGAAATTTGAAATACTTTAAAAATCTGATATATCTACATATCTTTAATTTCATATGTATATGTCTCTTTTACAATTTTTCACAGAGTTCCAGATGAGCCTAACATCTGAGTTATCCAGGAAACAACAGTTACTTGGCACCTTTGCCAAAGATGACCACCCAATGGGAAAATTTATGTGGGGTGAGTTAAACTATTTCACAGATTTAGGTTTTGTCTCTGAGGCATAAACTGATTGGATTTTGAGACTTATTGCATGTCAAATTTTTCCCCTCGAAAGTGCTCCAAATAAGATTAGTCTTAAAATTAGTCATCATTGTTTGACTTTTCCAAATACAGGTAATTGAATTTATATAATATAGCGTGGAAATCGACCGCTGTGTTGTGAATGCACAGACCACGGTACCCATGCGTAAACTACGCCACGACAATTCTCTGTTAATAACTGTGAAAGGCGACAAATAATTCATTCCCTATTCAGTTTATTCAAAAATTGCTAATTACTATTTTTTTTTAAATCATGCTGTTTTTTTGCTAAAATCATACTTTATTTGACACACTATCCTGCTAGGTAATACAAAGAGCTTGAAAACCACACCACTAGAACGTGAAATAGACGTACAAGAGAGGTTGCATGAGTTTCATGCCCGAATGTATTCATCTCAATACATGACATTAGCCGTACAGTCAAAAGGTAGGTCAAAGGTCACATATTAGCTCACAGTTCATACAGTTATAACTCTGTAGATTGGAGATCATAATCTGTAAAACCATTGAATTTTGGGTTTTAAGTTCATGAATGCCAATGGGGGCAATGAGTTCTATTGTTATTCTACATGTTCATGTGGATTTAATATAGCAAATTTTTCTTATTAACGAAAACAGCAAAATTAAAACTCAGTGAATAATTAATTTATTTACAGTACTTTATTCACTGACATTCTTTTTCAGATTTTCATCCAAAATTCATTTTTATAAATTAATGCATATTGCTTTGCCTATGATAAAAAAAAGCAATATTTTGTTTTCTTACTTCATAGATTCTAAAAATAGTAGATAAACATGTAGATTTGAAGGATTATTTGTAGTCTTTCTAATCATAAAGAAATGTGTGCAATTTATGTTTAAATATAACTCTTCACTTAAGATTGAATTCTGTTTTCAGAAAGTCTGGACACTTTAGAAGAATGGGTTAGAGATATATTTTCAGGAATACCCAACAAGTAAGTGACCATATTTATTTTAAAAAATCCATTTCTCTTTACATCGATTACAAAACTATTCTACAGGAATTATAGCCCAGAGACTCGGCTGTGATACTTTGCATAGCTGCCCGTAATCACTGCCCAGTGAAACGAGCTGGATCTAGCACAGAAATCGGTGCGAGTATGTAAATGGCGAATACAGGTGGTATGAAGCTAATTGGACAACTGACACAAACAACATTACATCAAAGCATCCCAATGTGATCCTGGTTTCAATTTCAAAAGAGACAGAAAAGGAAGTAGGGAGGAGTCTGAACGTAAATATAATTTACCTAATCGCACGCTTTTTGCACATGTGACGTAGGTACAAGGTCAAATCTAAGAATTCCCACACACTGCCAGGTCAAACAACATGGCAGGTATCGTAAGTGAATTGTCTTGTATGTACTGCTTGAAAAACTTGCATAGCAGCAGTCATGTTTTCCCCGTGTAATGTTGATGTCTCTCACGTTATCATGCACGAAATTCCCGCTTTCCCCTAGTTGTTACACTCATTAGACTTATGAATAGTAATGAGTGAGTGTGGTTAAAAATAATAGCCAACAGGCCCCTGTCAAAATTTGATGGATCGCCCTGTCTTATCTCGTTACTGAGCGACGGCAACTGCTGCCACGACCACATTCTGGTAATTTGAATAATGCAATTTTAATTTTCAGGCGCGTTTCACTGGGTGTTGGTTAGAACAGAAACCAACGGCCAAACTCTCGGCTACAGGAATTATTAATTAGTTGTTATAAAATGATGTCAAATGTAAGCTAGTACATGTACCTGTTATTACCTTATGTTTAGTGCATTATAATTGTGCAATAATTATCTGATTTTCATCTTAGTGGACTACCTAAGCCGGTGTTTGTGGATGCTGTGAAGCCTTTTGTCACTCCCAAATTTCATAAACTATACAAAGGTAAGTGAATTATTTTGTCATTCATCCCCTAAATTTAAGAGTGGATCACCCCAGGCGTTCTAAATGATTGAGATAACTAATTACTGGATATAAATAACCTTTTCTATTGAAGATAAGCTTCAAATAGAGAATATACTGTACTTTATGGTTATTGTATTATAGTAAATAAATGTCATTGTTTGTTCACACAAAATCTGGAAATATACACAGTGACTTTTGCACTTAGACAGAATGTATGCATAAATATTTTGAATGTTTCAATTGAATACTATTTTTTTATTTCTTGCATGTACAGTGGTACCTGTGAAGAATATCCACCAATTAGAGCTGACATGGGCACTACCATCCCTGCTACAACAATACAGGTAACACTTATACACTTTTACACATCAACCATGTTTTTTATTTTTGTCTATATTATCTGGAGCTCAGATCAGTAATTGAATTCTTAAAAAAATAATCTGACTAGCTGTAAATTGAATTACACACTAAACCCGTTAATTATTTGATGATACATTTATACATGTAACAAACAAGTTATTGTTTTACAGAGTAAAACCGCTTCATTAT